TGTGCGCTGGACCAGGAAGAAACTCAGTGCACAACACGAAACCAACTTCAAAATCAATCAGACGCAAGCAAAACAAAAATCTTTGTTGCAATCTAAAAAGGCTTCAATACGCATGGTTGGTTTGAAGAAGGCAGCCTACACGGCCTCTAACTACTGTAACTAAAACATTCTTAGACATTCGTCGCTTCTCAGATGACAAGAAAATCGGAAGTGTTCCAAAAGCTGCTGTTACATCATTATTTGATTAAATTTTCAAGAGATTGCTTAAAATGCAGCCGCTTGACTTGCTTCTCACTATTGTCTACTGACTCAATAGAAAAGCATATCATCTTAAGCAAAGTGATACCAGATAGAAATAGAACAGACAACTGCTTTGTCGCAATGGAAACTAGCATTTGTATTCTGAAGTGCATTACCCATGAACCATTAAGTGTTGATTAGTGACTTAGAACAAATTAACTGCAACTACCAAGAATTGGGTGCTATCTTGGATAAAGGCTTTCAAGACTTTTAAACAACAACTTTAATTTTTTATCACATTGGAACCTAAAATCTGATAAATCTGGGGAGGCGAAAGCCTAGTCGTATTATCACTAGACTATGAATTCTGAAACGCAGCTAAAGTCTAGTAGTACCTAATGGCAGATGGTGGAATTTGAATTCAATAAGGAATCTGGAATTAAGAATCTAATGATGACCATGAATCCATTGTTGATTGTTGGAAAAACTCATCTGGTTCACTAATGTCCTTTAGGGAAGGAAACTGCCATCCTCACCTAGTCTGGCCTACACGTGACTCCAGGCGCACAGCAAATGCAGTTGACTTTCAACTGCCCTCTGGGGAATTAAGGATAGGCAATAAATGCTGGCCAGCCAGAGGTGCCCACATCCCATGGGTGAATGATGAAAAATACCTTTTGCCATTCATGTCAACACATACAGAGTGAAACTTATATAAAATTGAATTGCCAATATTATTTAATCGCTATAGAGGCTGCTGTTCACCCTAATTCCTCATGAAACAGTAAATACAACATCAGACACCCCAGAATGAGGTGAGGTTTTGATCTTGCAAACAGAGTCCCTCAGGTCATGTATCTGGGCTGTCTAAGGGCACTTAACTAAAAAGCTCACGCCAACTTTATTAGAAAAAATTATTGCTCATGGACATAAAGGGACAATGGTCGCATGATTAGAAAACTTTCTAAAAGACAAGGGCAGCAGTGAATGTTTCTCAGATTGATGAGAAGTTTTATAGTGGTATATCCTACATGTTCGTGCTATTAGAATGATTGATCTTTTTGATGTGCAGTAATGAACTGGATTTGGATATCCATGGCATAATTTTAAAGTTTGTAGCTGATAAAAATCTGGAAATGTAGTGATGAGTGAGAAGGATAATAGCAAATGTTAGGAAGATGTACACAAAGGAGATTGGAAAACACATAGCAGTTAAAATTTAACATATGTGTGGTGATATATTTTGGTTGGAATAAAAGCCAATTTATCCTTTTTGAAAGGGAGTGAAAGATCAGACACAATGGCATATATATTCACAAACCTTTGAACAAGTTCAGCAGGCTGTTAAGACATATAACAGCCAACATTCTACCAGCCTTCCTGATTACCTGCTGGACATGTATGCTAGCTTTCTGTGTTTCATCCAGCAATACCACTAGTCCCTTTGTATTGCCACTTTCTGCAGCTTTTCTCCATTTAAATAATAGTCCTTTTGTTCTCCCTTCCAAACTGAACAACTTCTCAGTATGTTATACTCCATTTTCCACTCAATGTATCAATCTATCTCTGCAAACTGTTTGTATCCCCGTTGCAACCTGTGGATCCACTATTTTTGTGTTGTCTGTAAGTTTGACTGGAGTAGATTTGTTTCCTTCCAAGATTCTTGGTTTTGTATTATGCTGCAGAAACGAGAAATTATGCTAAATGTTTAAATATATCACTAGTTATGCCCAGCTGGATTATTGTGTCTAAATGTAGGTACAGTTTAAGAGGCAGACTGAAGCCTTATAGGTGGTGCAGAGGAAACTAGTTGAAATTGTACCAAGGAAGTGGACTTATTTGTTTGTTCGTGGATTAACCAACACTTACTCCCCAATCCTGATTGTCATTCAGGTGATGAGCATTTTGCTTGAATCACTGGAGTCCCTATGTGTACATACACTCAATTGGTATCAAGGAGGAACTTCCAGTATTTTAATTATCTGACAGTGAAGGAATTCCAAGTCTGTGATCTGGAGGGGAAGTGGCAGGTTATCTTGATCTTGCATGCTTGCTGCCCTTGTTTTTCTAGGTGGTAGATGTTGTAGGTTTGGAAGGTTCTACTAAGGAAACCTTGGCAAGTTGCTGCAGTGCTTTTTGTAGTTGGTATCCATCACCATTAAGGTGGTGTGGTGTTGGAAGGAATTAATATTTAAGATGGTGGACGTGGGTCAATCTAGAAGACTGTTTTGTCCTTGAAGATCTCAAGCTTTCTAGTATTCTTGGAATTGCATTCATTTAAGCAAGCATGACACATTCCATTATCTTCCTGACTGCTGCATTGTAGATGGTGGGAAGGATTTGGGGATTCAACAGGTGAGTTGTTCTGCACAGAATTTCTAGTTGTTGCCATGTTCTTGTAGTCATGTTATTTATAGGGTTGCTGCACTTAGGTTTTTGGCCAATGGTGACCCCAGTGTAAATAGGGATTTGGAATTTCATTGGTGTCAAGGGAGGTGGTTAGCTTCTCTTTGTCTGGAGATGATAATTGTTTGACACTTGTCTGTTGCAAACATTACTTGCCGCCTGTCAACATGAGCCTGAATGGTGCTTGACTCTTGCCATTCAAAGGCCCAGACTGTTTTGTCATCAGATGAACATTACAATTATCAGTGATATCCCCACTTTTGACCTAATAATCGACAACATCGATGAAGATGGTAAGACCTAACACACTGTATTGAGTAACTCCTATAAATGTCTTGTTTTTCTTTTGCTCTGATAGCTGCCCCATAACAACTATATCCATCTTTCATGCACGAGATATGACTCCAATCTAATAGAGTTTTCCCTCAATCTCATTTACCTCAACTACATGGAGAGACAAGAGAAGCTGGGACTGTTTTCTTTAGCAAAAGTTAAGACATTCTAAGAGGAGTTCTAAATCTTGAAGGTTTCTGATAAACTAAGGGAGAAATTCAACCGCACTCCCGCCCCCCACCCCACCCCGCTCCCCACAACATCACCACCACCACCAAATCTTCAAAATTATGTCATGGATCTTTAACATTCACCTGACAGAACATTTAATTATTGCTGTATTGGTTTATTACTCAAGATCAGGTGCTCAGGTCTTTAAAATCTTGAATTCATAATATTTGACATATTGGAAAGGGCTACCATTAAGGCATGGAAAACACAACTTTAGTTAAATGTATCACCATATATAAGACTCATGTCGTGGGAAAATAGCTCTCATGTAGCAATGGCAGACTATCAACCATTCAGAGATAGCAGGAACTGCAGATGCTGGAGAATGGTTGATAACAAGGTGCAGAGCTGGATGAATACAGCAGGCCAAGCAGCATCAGAGGAGCAGGAAGGCTGACGTTTCGGGCCTAGACCCTTCTTCTGAAATGATTTCTGAAGAAGGGTCCATGCCCCAAACGTCAGCCTTCCTGCTCCTCTGATGCTGCCTGGCCTGCTGTGTTCATCCAGCTCTACACCTTGTTATCAACCATTCTGATTTTTCCAAAATGTGTATTTGAATTTTGCATAGCCTAACTGGCCATATACAAATGAAACCATCTCATTAAATCAATGGTATCTTGGAACGCTCTGGGTTCTGTATTTGCCTAAATGGTTTTGATAAATGAAAAACGTTTGCTTTCATCAGAAGGAGCAATTTGCTGGTCTTGAACCAACATTCTCTGGGTACCAAACTTCAAGAACAGGAAACCACTGACTGCATTTATTCAGCGAAAACTCCGATAAGACATAAAGCAGATCTCCTTTGATGTGCTGGTGCTCTTTTCAAATGGGCTTTTCTTTTCATTGGATTCCTTCAATTTGTAAAACATAAGAACTCCATGAGGCGTGAGTGTTAATGAAATGGTGCTCCTTGCAGTATTTGGAAACATGCTTCAAGGGCAAACAAAAATGAGATGCCTCAGTGGTTTAATATGACAGCTACTGCAAGTTCAATTTAGTTTCTACAGTTACTGGTTCATGGAGAAAAGTTAACGTAATACAGACCACGGCACAATAATAGCAACAACCTATTGATGGTACTACTTTGCATTAGGGGATCGAGGAGTCCCAGCAATAACGTCCTTCAACAAACGCGTCCAAGGTTACAAACGCGCATGCATGTCAAATGCACATGCACATATACTATTCATGTGCATGTACAAAGGACACACGAATTATGTCAAAATGGAATTAAATCGCAGAGATGACCTCACTTTTTTTCAATCCATACATCACAGTGAAGACGCCAATTTGAAGAAGTATGCTTTCCAAATCTGCGAGATTATAGATGCCTAAGTGGAAGATTGCGCGTGGGTGGCGATAGTTCAGTGTTTTACGGGGTTGGCGTATCACACCAATATCAAAAAGATGATGAAACGACAGACCGCGAACACTACTTGAGGTGTCTGAAATACTCGGCAGTTTGGCATAAATTATGCACGGAAAGCACGATGTGCCTATTCACTTCACTAATCATGGGCTTGCGAGGTTTCTGAAAGACGAAGATTCTCTTAAAACAAAACGTGTTACTTTTAGAGCATTTCCCTTTTTCGATTCCACTTCCCTAGCTGACTGGAACTCGTTCCTCTTTAAGACGGCCGGCAGAATGATCAATGAAGTAGGTGGGTCACGCCGAGATAAGAGTACTGGCAAGAAGCCCATGATGCACTGCAAGCCTGGGCTTTCTCACGATCAGAAATCGGAAAATAGTAATTGCCTCAGACATCCGTAGTGCTTGGGTTGCACAGCACTCAGACGGTTGGTGACCACGGTGGTTATATTACGTGGAAATGCTCTACGCATAATAATGAAAACATAATGCGGAGAAACTTTGACCATTCCACATCTCCGAGGTTTCATCTCGGCTTCGTACTTTCTTCAATAACCATCAATATTCCGTCGGATTTGAAACTGAACGGTTGATTCTATGGCTGGGAGTAAGCGCGAAGTCTAGCGGATTTCATTGTAGCTCGCTTCCCTAAACACTATCATGGTAAAAACCTTCCGCTCCTGATTTACAAGAAAGGCAAAGGCAAGGGTTGACGGACCTCATATCGAGGAATCACCACCGATTAAACGCTGTGGGGTATGTTCAACCTGGTTTGTATAAAACAGCTTTATTTTAAAAAAAAGGAAATGGAAAGCGGTTCTTTGCTCGTGCGTTTCAAATAATTTAATGTTTTCTACACAGCAAATAGAAAATCGACAGCCGTCCCTGGCTGGAGTTATCCACCACTCACTTTCTGGTCATTCTTTATAAAATTAAAAACGGATGTATGCTTAGAAAATATTGCCACGCCGGTGCGTGTTTGAAACATTGTAAAACAGAAAGACACAGATGCGTAGAGTGAAACCGAAATTGCAATGGTAAATTATTAAGAACTAATTGATTAACGTTGCGAGGCAAGCCCGGCACATTTAAACAGTTCTTAAGGCAACATATTGAAACTGACGTATGCGACTTTGGGCATTTTTTTTGCAATTGCTTGGTACCACTAAAGCCGAATGAATAGGATGGGTTGAGTTTGATTCGTCTCTCGGTTTCTGAGGCTTAAGTGACGCAGGGGCTTGCCATTTAGGCAAGCTTCCTGAAAGCATTCGAAACATGTAAGGGCAATTTTACTATGTAAGGCAGCATCAGGTAAACGCTTAACTCTACCGACCGCCTGTGGGGACATTATTATTTTTTTTTAATACTAATCAGTTACACCCCATTCATGCATAAGACGAGGGAAGGGGCAATCTGCAAAGTATTGCTCTGACCAAGCAGACATTGACACATTATTTTTAATACTTGTATGTATTTCTCTTTCTAAACGTTGCAGACGGAAGAGTCTGGAAAGCGGTCGATGGTCATCATGGCGAGGTGGTGGAAAGCAGCGCCCCGTGAACGTGCGCTGGAGGCTGGCTTGTGGCTGGCGGTGCCTCTCTTGCTGTTGCTGGTGGGCGGTGTCCGGCAGGTGGAAGGGAGCGAGAGGGGCTCGGCAGCCGAGCAGCAGCGGCGGCAGCAGCAGCATCAAGGGGAGGGAGAGGTGGCGGCGGCCGCCAACAACGACGCCTCCAACGCCTCGTCCAACCTGTGCCAGGGCTCGTACAAATGCGCCGAGGGCGTGATCCTGCCGGTGTGGTACCCGCAGGACCCGTCGGTGGGCGACAAGGTGGCGCGGGCCATCGTCTACTTCGTGGCGATGATCTACATGTTCCTGGGCGTCTCCATCATCGCCGACCGCTTCATGTCGTCCATCGAGGTGATCACCTCGCAGGAGCGGGAGATCACGGTGAAGAAGCCGAACGGCGAGACCAGCACCACCACCGTGCGGCTGTGGAACGAGACCGTGTCCAACCTGACCCTGATGGCGCTCGGTTCCTCGGCGCCCGAGATCCTGCTGTCGGTGATCGAGGTGTGCGGGCACGGCTTCCGCGCCGGCGAGCTGGGGCCCAGCACTATCGTGGGCAGCGCGGCCTTCAACACCTTCGTGATCATCGCCATCTGCGTGTACGTGGTGCCCGACGGCGAGGTGCGCCGTATCAAGCACCTGCGGGTCTTCTTTGTCACCGCCGCCTGGAGCATCTTCGCCTACGCCTGGCTCTACCTGATCCTGGCCGTCATCTCGCCCGGCGTCGTCGAGCTCTGGGAGAGCCTACTCACCTTCATCTTCTTCCCGGTCTGCGTGGTCTTCGCCTGGGTGGCCGACCGCCGCCTCCTCTTCTACAAGTACATGTACAAGAAGTATCGGGCCGGTAGGCACCGCGCCATCATCATCGAGACCGAAGCCGAGCGGCCCGGGGCTGACCCCGACCCCACCGCCTCCTCCTCCTCGGCCAAAGTGGACATCGAGCTGGACGGCAAGATGTTCAACTCGCTGCAGGAAGGCGCGGCCTCCACCTCGTCCTCTACGCCCCCGGCCTCGCCCAGACCGTCCGCCGAGCCTGCCCTCGACGGAGGAGCCTCTGCCTCCGGCCCTTCGCCCCTGACCAAGGACGAGGAGGAGGAGTCGAGGCGGGAGATGGCGCGCATCCTGAAGGAGCTGAAGCAGAAGCACCCGGACAAGGAGATGGAGCAGCTGATCGAGCTCGCCAACTACCAGGTGCTCAGCCAGCAGGCCAAGAGCCGCGCCTTCTACCGCATCCAGGCCACCCGCCTCATGATCGGCGCCGGCAACATCCTCAAGCGCCACGCCGCCGACCAGGCCCGCAAGGCCGTCTCCATGCAAGAGGTCAGGCCCGAGATCGACGAGGGCCCCGTCAGCCGCGTCTACTTCGACCCGGGCAGCTACCAGTGCCTGGAGAACTGCGGCTCGGTGGCGCTGACCGTGGTCAGGCGGGGAGGGGACCTCACCCGCACCATCACTGTCGACTACCGCACCGAGGACGGCACCGCCAACGCCGGCTCCGACTACGAGTTCACCGAGGGCAGCCTGGTCTTCAAGCCGGGCGAGACGCAGAAGGAGATCCTAGTGGGGATTATCGACGACGACATCTTCGAGGAGGACGAGAACTTCTGCGTCCACCTCAGCAACCTGCGGGTGGACAGTCCCGGGCCCGCGGCCGTGCCAGCGAGCGGGAACCAGCAGCCGGCTACCGGCGCCTCCACCACGCCTGCGCTGGGGCCGGGCCCGGTTAGCGCGCAGGCGCCCTCGCCCAAACTCGGAGTCGGCGGCGGCGACGTCAACGACGCAACCTCGGTCTCCAGCGCCAACACGTCAGGCGTCCCGGCCCCGCCCGCCGGCGCCGCGGCCAATCACGTGGCGGGCGCTGCGCCGTCCTCGGCCGCCGAGGTCGCGTGCTTGTGCGCGCCGTGGACCGCCAACGTCACAATTTTCGACGATGACCACGCGGGCATCTTCACGTTCGAGGAGAAGGTGACGCACGTGAGCGAGAGCGTGGGCGTGATGGAGGTGAAGGTGCTGCGCGCGTCGGGGGCGCGAGGCGCCGTCGTTGTGCCGTACCGCACGATCGAGGGCAGCGCGCGCGGAGGCGGCGAGGACTTCGAGGACACGGCCGGCGAGCTCGAGTTCGACAACGACGAGATTGTGTAAGTGGCGGCCGGAGAAGGGACGGAGGGACAGGATGGACTGGAGCGGGGCGAGGCTCGTTATTACCCTCCTCCTCCTCCTCGCACCCTGTCCTCCTTCTCTTCTCTGCTGGTTATATTTCGAATTATGTGTCCGCTTGTCTCTCTGCCGTTTGACCGTCAGTGATGCCATATTATATGGGTTTGAGGCACCAACCAGTGCATTTATCCGAGCGATGGATCAAAATACACGCATTGAGTTTTTTTTTCACAGCAACATAGAAAATATGAACAGGAGGTAGGCCATTCATTATGACCATGACCGATCATCCAACCCCAATAGCCTGTTCCTGCATTCACCCTATATCCTTTGACCCTTTTAGTGTAAGAACTGTTATCACCGAACAAAGACCAGGTCTGTTAGGACTATACTGAGTGGAGTTTAGAAGAATAAAGGGAGATCTCATATAAGCTTATAAAATCCTAGCTGGGATAATTGCAGAAAGGATGTTCCCTGATGGCAGGGGAGTCCAGAGGATACAAGATAGACCATTCAGGGCTGAGATGAGGAGAAATTTCTTCACCCACAGAAAGGTGAACCTTTGCAATTTTCTGTTACAGAAAGCGGTAGGGGACACAACAGTCAATGTTTTCAAGAAGGTGGTAGCTGTAGGTCTTAGGGGTAAAATTATCAAAGGGTTGGGCAGAAAGCGGGAAACTGAGTTTGGTGATCAACCATAATATCGAATGGTGGTGCAGCCCCAAAGGGTTTACTCCTGTTCCTACTTTCTGTGTTTCTACGTTGATTCCTTATTGAAAATCCCCACCCAAAGGAAGCAGATTTGCCTTTACCCCCAGATACTCCTTCTCCTGCTTCCCCCGCCCCCAAAAGAATGCCGGGAATTGTCAACTAGTGCTGGTCTATGTTAGTGGTTGGTAACAAACAATGACAAGCAGTGTTCAGAATTAGAGCCTGGTCCACACGAAGCTGATGCCAGCCATCACTTCTTCAAACACAGTCATGAAAATCTGGGGTCCTTCTCCCAGAAAGAACAGTTGGTGCTGGGTGGCTGCTCAGTCCTTCAAAACTGAGATTGATGGATTTTTGTTCAGTAATGGTAGTGTGGTTTTCTGAAGCAAGCTAGGTGAATGGTGAGTGGTTTGACTGAATGGTCCACTTGTGTTTCTATGTTCAGTTCACATGTTGCAGAAATTTATCCAAAGGAAATTAGTACTGAAATAATTGACATTTTACAGAGATTGTGAAATCAATTTTATGCAAATTTACTTTTTCTGTTTTGGTGTATAGATTTGCCAGTACGGCAGTTTCTTGGCCAAAATAGTTGTATTTATCGGTTTGATCTGATGGTCATCTCTGCTCTTAAACAAGGGGATCAGTTGTCATGCTAAAGTCAATAATGCTATGAAAATCATGACTTGGAACTGATTCATTTGGTGTGGCTGCCCATTATTCTGACAACATTTCCATTGTGGCTTGGACATGGATGTTGAATCACCTGATGTCATTTCGTGCACTTTAATGTGGTGAACGATCATGTTGAACTCAGCCAGTAATGGTTAGGCTATTCAAATGGGGCAGTCTCTTGAAAAAAGATCATTGGTTTCCATGTGGAGATTGAAAGAGGTTTAACAAGAGCATATTCTGGTTTGGTTTTGCATTTTTTTTCCAGTTTCACTCATTTTCGTCTGAAAGGTGCTTGTATCATTGTGAAATGAACATAATATTGAACAACTTTGAGCTCCAAGGAAAGGAGGAATGGGAGCAACAGCTCCAGATGGACCAGCTATTGAGAGTGAGTGGTCCTTGATTTGACATAAATTGCAGGAAGAAGCATGGTTGCTCAGAGAAAGCCATGTTACTCATGTGGTTTGCAGATCTACACTGAGGCTTAGTGAAGTGAGATGAGGTGTAGGAGGTTAATGAACTTCTCAAAAGAATTGCAAAACCTTCAGAAAACAGCTATATACTAAGATCAGTGTCATTAATATTTGGCATCATCCACTGCATTTATGGTCATCAGAACTCACCTAAATGAGTAAGCACATTCATGAGCTGCAGAGGATTTCTTTTCCAAACTATCCAGCTGGTTTTAAATGCAGACTGTGGTTCATACAGGTCTGCACTCACTTTCTAGGTAGTCTTCATAATGCTTATATCCTAGAGCAATCCAGCATTTTGCTCACTTAGAGAAGTGCAGCACATCCCAGCCTAGTTGACAGCAAATAATAGATATGCTATAGACTTGATGGATTACCCAGCTTTGAAATCCAAGGACACCAATGGAGATGAGAAATTACTGTAAATGCATTTCGACCACAACAGTTATCAAAGGGTGCTGAAACAACAAATCTGCTGCTTGGAACAAAGTTGGGATTTCCTACACTATAGCCTTGGGAGAAAGCCAAGATAATAGTGGTGTGTTTCCTTCTGCGTATCTTTGCTACTGTTGTCTACAAAGGGAGGAGAACACTGATGATTCAGAGTGGTGGAGAATTGCAGCATCAGCCTACAGCCTCAGCTGTACTACATCGACTCATTAATCATCACTTTTCATCACAGGGCTTTTCTGGCGCAGGCCCGATTTCAAGTGTCACCTGCGCCAGAGGTGTGGTATAATATTCCTGAACAGGCCAATTAGAAAATGTCACTTTTAATCATTTACTGTTTTCTATTGCACCTTTATTCCGTAAGCCATTTGAACTTGGGTATTGCTGAAACAAGAGACATGCTGGTGAAGCTTTAAATCTCATGCTCATTAGAGCAGATGCAAGAATGCCAAATTTCAAAGGGAATAGCAATTTACATTGCAAAAGAAAATACTGTTGATCTGTTGTAATGTTACCTCTGATTGGTCAGGATGTTGTCATGGAAAATATACCAGGAACCTAAGATTTTATGTAATTCAAAAAAGTTTGTTGTCTGAACATGCTCATTTTTCCTGCAGATGACAGATTTCGATGTCTGATGAATATAGCTTTTAGCAAGTTTAAGTAAGCAACATTTTGAGCCAGACTGATGATCTTCAATTGCTTGTTGGTATAATTTTTACCCTTTTCCCATGCACTGTAAATTGTTGCTCCGTTTGAAATTTGGCATTTTCGCATCTGTTCTCATGAGTGCAACAGTGAGTCTCCTTTTTAGGCAATACTCAGGTTCTGTACTGGCAAGCAACTACCATTTGAATTAGTTCTTTTACTCTTTAGTACATCCCGTTAAAGCAAAAGATATAGGAGCAGAAGTAGACCATTGAGTCCATCAAAATCATACACCATTCAATGAGATCATGGCTGATCTGATAATCTGCAATTCCATTTGCCTGCCATTTCCCCAAAACACTTGATTCGTGTACTGATTAAAAATCTGCTGCCTTAGCCTTGAATATACTTAACAAGATAGCTTCTACAGCTCTGTGTGGTAAAGAATTGCATAAATTGATTCAAATTCCTGCTCATCTTTATTTGAAATGGATAACTCCTTATTTGGAGATTATACCCTCTGACTCTGTACTGTCTGACAAGGGAAAACAACCTTTATGCATCAACCCTGTCAAATTCCTAAAGAATCTTGTGTATTTCAATAAGGTCTCTTATTCTTGTAAACTCCAGAGGGTACAAATCCAGCCTACTCAATATCTCCTAATAAGACAGAGCCTCCATACCCAGGATCAATTTGGTGAACCTACTCTGGACTGCCTTCTATCTCAGTGTATCTTTCCTTGAATAAGAGGACAGACACTGTTCACACTATTCCAGGTGTGGTCTGACTAGTGCCTTGTGTAGATTTATCAAAACTTCCTCATTTTTATACCGCATTCCTTTTGATCTAATGGGAAACATTCCATTTGCCTTCCCTATTACCCACTTAACTTGTATGCTAGCTTATGTGATATATGCACGAGGATTCCCAAATCCCTCTGTGCTGTAGCTTTCTGCTATCTTTCTCCATTTGTATAACATTCTGCTTACGTATTCTTCCCGCCAAAGTGTATAACTCTACAGTTTCCCACATTTTATTCCATGCGCTATGTTTTTCCCCACTCAATTAACTTGCCTGTCCTCTGCAGACTGTTTGTGTCGTCCTCACTGTTTGCCTTGCTACCTATTTTTGTATCATCTGCAAACTTGGTCTGTAGTACATTCACTTTCCTCGTCCAAGTAACTAATACATTTTGCAATTAATTGTGGCCCCAGCACTGCTCCCTGTGGCATTCTACTAGTTACATATTGCCATCCTGAATTTGTCCCCCTTATCCCAACTCTGTCTTTTGTTATCGACCACCTTCTGAAAATTCAAATATATTACAATCAGTGTTCCCCCTTTATCCATCCTGCTTGTTTGCTCCTCAAAAGATTGTAATTAATTTGTCAGGCAAGATTTCTCCTTCATGAGCCAAGTTGATTCTACTTGATAATTGTTACGCCTAACTACATGCTGTGCTATTACATCCTTTATAGTAGACTCTGACATTTTCCCAATAACAGGTGTTTAGCTAACTGGCCTTTAGTTACCTACTTTGTCTCCTTCCTTTTCTAAAAACAGTGCACTCTCTATCTCTAATAGCTACTTCCTCTATTAACCTAGGATGCATCTCATCGAGTCCAGGGGACTTATCGGTCTTTAGCCCCATAGCACATATTCACTCGTGATATGTATTGTATTTGTTTCCTCTCCTCTTTTTGCTTTTTGAATATTTAGTAATTTTGGAATGCAGTTAGTGTCTGCTGTGAAGACCGTATATTTATTCAACTCGACTGCCATTTCTTGGTTCCCCAGTATTGTTTCCCCAGCCCCATTTTCTAAGTGGCTCAGGTTCACTTTAGCTTCTCCCTTCATTTTTATATATTTGAAGAAGCTCTATTGTTTGTCTTGATACTACTTGTAAGTTTACTCTCAACATTTATTTTCTTCCTATTATTAATTTTGGTCTTTTTTTTAAACTTTCCCAATCTTCCGAGTTACCACTGATCTTGCTTTGCTACATTGTATGTTGTTTTCCTTT